TCTTCTGGTTTTTCCCACGATCGTGCTTATAATCTTCATCTCTGCTACTCGCAGCATTCACTTTGTTTTGTTTGTTTCCTCTCGTATATCTATCCCGTATGTCATAATGGGTCTCACGCATGTTTCGTATATTTTTACTTTGCGTTTTTTTTTTTGTTTTGTTTATAGAGATTGTCATGTTGACCTGTTGGCTGATTTGGTGAAATCTGGAAAGCTGCCTCTGGGGGTCGTCTTCGTTCTCCGCGATAATTGCGGCGTCGTCGGCATAACATATCATGCTGATTCTCTTGTTGTTAATTTTGTACCCTAGGTTCAGGGATGTCACTACTTCCATAATTGTATCCATGAGGATATTGAACAGAGACGGGCTGAGACTATCCCCCTGTCTGATTCCTCCTAGTATTGGAATGCTATTTGATATTTGCTTTTGTGGTTTTACTTTTGTTGTGTTGTGACTGTTTAGATTGTGAATTACTTTTATAATGTTTGCTGGTGTATTCCTTTCGGTTAAGCTCTTGATGATGTCGGCTAGACGCATCCTATCAAATGCCTTGGCCAGATCTATGAAGCACTTTTCCTTTATTTGTTTGACAATGAATATAGCGTCTGTTGTTGATCTGTTCCTTCTAAACCCTTGTTGTTCTTCGCGGTTTTCTATGTGTTATTCTAGCTTGTTCTTCAATATTCCTGTAAACATTTTCATTGTAGTACATAGTAATGTGATTCCTCTGTAATTGTCTACGCATGTCTTCTGTCCCTTCTTAAAGATAGGAATCGTGATGCTTTGAAGCCAATCCTGTGGTATTTGTGCAGTGCGCAGAATATTGTTAAACAGTAGGCATAGTTGCCTCGTAAGTTCTTGTCCGCCATATTTAAGACGCTCGTTAGGTGTATTGTCGGGTCCCGCAGCTTTCTTGTTTTTCAGTTTCTTCAATATAAGTTCTATTTCCAATTCGTCGATCGTAGCGTTAGATACAGTTTCGTGTTCTTCCAAATTTACTGTTTCTTCAAATTTGTAAAGCTGTCTGAAGTTTCCATAGACACTCCTTCGGTTTGTGCATACTCATTCACTGGTTTTTTTCTGTTTTTGAGCAATTTCCATACATTTCTCTGTGCGCCATACATATCGTATTCCATGTCGGCAGTAAACTTAATCCAATATTCTCGTTTGATTTCTTTTATTTTTGAGTTTACTCTGTTTCTAGTCTGTATATATTCGGCTTGTTGTTCTATTGTCTGTAGGTTCTTGTACTTCAGATAGTTGCTTCTTTTGATGTCTGCGAGTTGTTTCACCTCCTGGCAGAACCATGGCTTAGTGCGGTTATTTGCGTTTATGTTTATCTTCCGTTTTCCTATG